GACAATTAGGTTCAAATAGAAAATCAGGCTTCAAATTTGGCCCGAGGACCAATTAAACATAGATGTTCAAATAGCAAATGCTGAGGAAGTTGTGAAAAGATTGGGACTCTTATTCCCTGCTGCTGGTGGTGGTGGTGTTGAGTGCCCTTGAGTCATAGTGACCTTTGAACAAAAGTCCTTGACACTTGCGTGAGTGACTTTCATCCTTTCTCCCGGTTTATAGGGTTTTTAGAGGGAAGCTATTTATGGAAGAGAATGCCACTCCTGCTTCCAAACACTGCTGGCAGAAGTATAAAATGGTACAACCACTATGGAAGGTAATTTGGTGCTTTCTCAAAAAGTTGAAAATAGAAATACCATTTGACCCAATAATTCTACTACTGGGGACATACCCTAAAGAAACAAGAGCTAACAAACAATTCTATACACAACCATGTTTATTACTGTATTATTCACAATAGCAAGGATGGAAGCAACCCAAGTGCCTATCAATAAATGAATGGATAGAAAAACTATGGTGTAGTCACACAATGAAATACTGTGCAGCACTGAAAAAATGTGAACTTGCAAAACATTATGCAACATGGGTGAACCTGGAAGACATTATGCTCAGTGAAATATCTCAGTCACAAAAGGTCAAATTCTGCATAACACCATTTTTAAAAAGCAGTACTAACATGGGGGGGTTGGAGGAAAACTAGGTAAAAAGGGGATGTATAATGAACTCTGCTCTGGAACAGATGAAGGAAAGAACTGTTTAAAAGGAATATATGATTAGGCATTATGTGTATGACAATAGTCCAAAGTAGGAGGTGTAGTGTAAAATGGATTGGGGCAGGGGGAGGGGAGAATGAGGGAGGAAATGGTGAAAAAAAGAAAATAAGAAAAAATAGGTATTAATAAATTGAAAACCTAAGATCTTTTAAAATTGAAAAAGATGGACATTGTGCTCATCGACTTTAGCCATTATAAACAATATCTTTGAACATTTTCCCAGTACTTAAGGTCCTAGGAATTTAATTTCTGGCTTAACTATATATACATATTTTTGATATTACAAAATGTTGCTAAATCATTCCCTAAAATGGGTGTATGAACTCACATTCCCATTAGCAGTGTATAATAGTTTCTGTGATTTTATATTCTTGCTGGCACTTTGTATTAACTGATGTTTTTATTTGGGGCTAAAACCACCAACAATAGTTAAAGAATATTATTGTTTACTAATGAAATTTTTATTTCTCTGACTGTGACTAAGGATAGGTATCATGCCATGTATTTGTTTTTACTCACTGTGCTTTTCTCTTTTATGATTGTCCAATGATATTTTACTCATTGTTCGATTAGAGTGTGTGCACCTCACTAAATAGAAATATCTGCATAGTCTATATTTGTCTATTACATATTTGCTACAAATATCTTCTACTGAAGGATCTTTGGTGGCCTAGTAGATAGCAAGTTGGACTGTTAATCTGAAGGTAGCACCCCTTGGGCAGTTTGAATTCACCAACGATTTCACAGGAGAAAGATGAGCAATCTCCCTCTTTTAGCCCACCCTGAAATACATCCCTTGTTGAGATTGTTGCAATGCATGTGATGCTTAATTACACACACACACACACCCCTTTTGGACAGTTCTTCCCCTCATTTGTTTTATTGCAGTGTTCATTATCTATCCTCTTTTCCCATTCTCTTCCCAACCTCCCCTTGTCTGTCTTATTTTATAAAAGTGCTGTTATGTGGTGTTGGGTTTTTTTGTGTGACTGAGATATTTCACTCAGCATAATTTCCTCTAGCCTCCCCCATGTTGTGTAATGTTTTACAAGATTATTGTTTTTTGTTTTTCAGTGCTGCATTATATTCCAATGTGTGAATGCAACATAGTTTTTCTATCCATTTGTTTGTTGGTGGTCAATTGAGTTACTTCCAACTCTTTGTGAATAATACAACAATAAACATGGGTGTGCATACAACTGTATGAGTTGTGGCTCTGGTTTCTTTAGGATATATTCTCTGTAGTGGAACTGTTGTGTCAAATGGTATTTCTATTTTCAACTTTTTTAGAAAGTTCCAGGTGATCTTTCATAGTGGTTGTACCATTTTACATGGCCACCAGCAGTAAATAAGAGTTCCAATCTTTCACAACCTCAGAATGATGACTTTTAAAAACTTGTACTTTCTAATTGTTCTTTGTGATACTATATAGAACCACTATTGATTTTTAAAGCCATCAAACTTCTCTATAATTTTGATAATTTGCCTGAAATTTCCCTTGTTTATGTAACCTATCATATAGAAGGAGAATTGATGCCTTTGAGCTGTGGTGCTGGAAAAGAGTATTGAGAATTCCATGGACTTCTAGGAAAACAAACAGATTTGTCCTGGAAAGGGTTAAACCGGGTGGTTCCTTGGAGGCAAGGATTCTGAGGCTCCGTCTAACATACTTTGGACATGTTGTGAGGAGAGACCCGTCCTTACAGAGGGACATCATACTTGGGAGGGTGGAGGGACAGCGCAGGAGAGGAAGGCCCTCTATGAGGTGGATTGATTCAGTGACTGGGATAATTGGGATGGGAGTGTCAGCGACAGTGCGATTGGCACAGGACAGAGCAGAGTTTAGGGCTGTTGTACATAGGGTCGCTATGAGTCGCAAGCGACTCGACAGCACATAACAGCAACAACAACAACATCACATAGTTCATGGATATAGGGTATTATCTTTGTGAATTACGTTTTGCCCATTGACCTATGTGTTCCCTGATACTACTGAGGCCTCTTGCCTTCAGGTCCAGCGATTCAGTGCCTGTGTCTAAGAAGCTTATACAACTTTGCCATGTATTTGCTCCATTAATTATGTACATACCTATAGTATTTTCAAATATTTATATAGAAATATAAACTCCCCTGTTATCATACGTATGTGGATGTACTTCCTAACCTTACAACCTCCCTCATTTATACAGCCCACATGTTGACCTATACAAATGCTCACAAATTAGTATCTCTCCAGTTTGAGTTGTTAAGAGTTTTGTTTATATTTAGCAACAGAGAAGTGGTGAATTTTAATATTTTTTCTTTATTTATTGCGATAAATACACTGTTTTTCCTTTAAACAAAGTAATGACTTCCAGTACTAAAATTTTTCAACGTTGGACTCTTCTTTAATTTCTAGAATCAATTCAACTTAGTAATAAGATATTTTTTTATACTTTTACTGAACTCAGTTTACTAGCATTTTATTTAGAATGTTTTACAATTTCTGATATTTTTACCTAATTTTTATATCATGCTGACCTTATAACATGAGTTGAGAATTTCTATTCCTCCTTGTTTTTTTGAATATTCTAAAAAGCAGAGATTACCTGTTCCTTTGACTTTTATCTTTGAGGGCAGAAAGGTGGGTTACAAATTAAATGCCTTCAGTGTTTTATCACTAGTTCATGTTTTGTTCTTGACTAAAATTGTAGTGATATTTTTCATAAAGTTTTTCATATTAATTGGCATAAGTATTTCACAGAATACTCTCATTATTTTAGAAAATATGACCTTTATCATTGATTAGTGTCCACATGGTCACTGCTAATAGTGTTTATATGGGAACTCTGGTGGTATAGTCAATACAGAGTTGCTCTGCTACCCAAGGGAGTGACATTTGCATCAATATGTGTAATAGTAACTTTTACCTATAAGAGAGTTAAAATGAAAATGTAATAAAGAATGCTAGTGTTTCATTTTCTCATCTGCAAAACTAGATGAGAAAAAGAAAAAATTTTCCCAAGTACAATATAGGATTAAAAATTATGATAGAATTGTGCACAATGGATGAATATTTTAAAAACCAAAAAAGTAAACTGGGAGAGGGGGAGGCAGGAAAGGAGGATAAAAATTTACAACAACGGATGAATTAAAATCTAACTTTTCTGTACACTTTTGTTAAAAATACAATTAAATAAAAAGATTATCTAAAAAATTAATGATAGATCTGAAAGGTTTGATTTAAGGTATTGAGCTCAAGACATGGAAATTATTAAATGGAAGGTAAGCCTTACTCTAAGTATTGATAGTCATTATAACGTAGAGATTATAAACATTAAGATTATTGCTCAAATTAGAGTCCAGGGGTGGAAAAAAGTAAAAAAAAAAAGTGTCAGAAGCCTCAACAGACAAAGATGGGGAAACCTCCTTCTGTGTGATTTACAGCCTTGCCAAACACACGCCGGAGGAACAATGGGACCTCCAACAATCCATTAAAGGTTCCAGTTCGATGACACTGAGTAAAAGAGTGTGGGAGAGGGTTTGCCTTTGTAAAAACAGATTTTGACTTTGTCACGAATATTGGCAATTTGATTACTTTTTTAGTTTTTTCCAGTTTTTACATTCACCTTTTTTTTTTCCATTTTCCTTACAGTTCTTTTTGTAACCACTTTTTCCGCCCCCAGACTGAGAGGTATTTTATTTTCCAAGGAATTTTGAGAAATGACCACAATTGTAGCACACCCAGAAGAAAAGAAAATCAAACTTAAAGCAAAATTGTTTTAAACAATCTCTGACAACTTCTTAAAATCCTAGATTTGCTTCTTTTGAGTCTAATTTACAAAAAAGATACAAGAACAGATAGCATACTACATTGGGAAATTGGGGTTAGCTTGCCCGGCAGCTTCAGTGTAACCACTTTGAATGCTCAGCTTATTAAGAGTCTTTCCTTTCCCATGAATAGTTTCCCACCTTTGGCTCTGTGTGATATATACATTATTTTTAATCATACTTGAAACATATATGAAACTAGAACACATGTGAAAAATGAAATAGCTTTGAGTAAACTACTAAGCATCTTAGTATATTTGTCTTCTCATCTGTAACAGGAAGATAAGAATTTCTGACTTGCAGAGCTGTAAAGGGGATTAAAGGTACAACCTGTTTAATATTCTAGCATAATATCTAAAATATAGTCAGTGGCCAAAATGTATCACCTCCCTTACCTCCTCTTCCCTTTTCTTCTTTTACTGCCTCCAACATCCTGCAACTCTGAGTATGCAGAAACTGAGAAATCGTGAAGCCTTTCGAAGAACATTCCAAAATGTTTCTTTTACATCTTTGTTCCTCAGACTGTAGATCATAGGGTTGAGCATGGGGATGACCACTGTATAGAATACAGAAACCAATCCATCTCTGCCCAGTGAGTACTTGGAGGATGGACGCAAATATATGAACACTGTGGTTCCATAGTACAGGCTGACGGCTGTCAGATGGGAAGCACAGGTGGAGAATGTCTTGTGCTTTCCCTGGGCTGAGGGAATTCTGATGATAGCAATGAAAACACATATGTAGGACACTAGAATAATTGCCAGAGACACAGATACATTAAAACCACCACAGGCAAAGAGGAGAAGCTGCAGGACACGTGTATCAGAGCAGGAGAGTTTTAAAAGTGGGAGGATATCACAGAAGTAGTGAGTTATGACATGAGAGCGACAGAAGGTGAGATGAAAGGTTGCGCTAGTGAGGAGCACCATTTCCACGAGGCCCACTACGTAACTGGCAACCACGAGTTGCAAGCAGAGCTTTGGGGACATGATGATATGATAGAGTAGGGGATTGCAGACTGCCACATAGCGATCATAAGCCATGGAAGCCAGGAGAAAGAACTCAGTGACACAAAAGATAACAAAGAAACCTGTTTGAGCCATGCAGCCAAAGAAAGAGATGGTTTGGTAGCCAGGGAAGAAGCCCATCAACATCTTTGGGACTGTGACTGAGGAATAACAGAAGTCAAGAAAAGACAAGTTGCTGAGGAAGAAATACATGGGGGTGTGGAGACGGGGGCTGACCACAATGAGGGTAAGAAGACCCAAGTTTCCCACTACTGTCATTGCATAAGTGATGAAAAAGAGGACAAACAGGATGGGTTGAAGCTGAAGGTCATCAGTGAGGCCCGTGAAGAAGAATTCACTCAGCATACTGGTATTGCCTGCTTCCATAGGGCCACTTCAGGTCTGCAAGAAGGACATGCATGGCAATTACTAGACAGGTGGAGATCTCTTTTAAACAGAGACCTGCAGGTGCTATTTGTGGCTGTTTAGGATGTGACATGTCATGCCCACTGCACCACTAGAGTCCCTTAAGTTCATGGAGGGAAAATGTTTTCCCCTACAAACAGGAGAGGATAAAATAGATGAATGGGCCCTTCTAAGTAAGAATCAAATCACTATGCACATCCAAAAACTTCTCCAACAGGGAAAAAGGGAAGCCATAGACTGGGGGGAAAAATTTGGTAATGACATGTCTGATAAGGGGCTTAGAATTTATAGTATACTCAAGCACCATAACAAGATAAAGTTCAACAACCCAATTGCAAAATGGGCACAGGATATGAATAGACATTTCACCAAAGGAGACACTGAGATGGTGAGCACATCTTGTTTTCTACAAGCTGTGAGAACTAAAAGGGGAAAAAAACCAACCACAAAGATTCTCACCACTTGGCAGCATCATGATAGATGGTGAAGAGATTGAGATTATTAATAACTTCAGCTTGTTTGGCTTCACAAGCAACACTCTTGTTACCAACAGCTAGGTAATCAAAAGACAAATTGCATTGAGAAAATCTGCTGTCAGTGACCTCTCCAGAGTACTGAAGAGCAACGATGTCAGTCTATTGACTAAGGTGTGACTTATCCAGGCCATGATCTTCGCAATTACTTGCTATGCATCATAAAGCTGGACAATGAATAGGAAGAAGAGAATTGAAGTCTTTGAGCAGTGGTGCTGGAGAAGATTACTGAATATACCATGGACTGCTAGGAAAACAAACAGGTTTATCTTAAACAGGACGAAACCAGGCTGCTCCTTGGAAGCAAGTATTCGGAAACTCTATCTGACATACTATGGGTATGTTGCAAGGAGGGACCAGTCCTTGGAAAAGGACATCATGCTTGGAAGGATGGAGGGACAGCTCAAGAGAGGATCCTTGATGAGATGGATTTTCAGTGACTGGGGTAATAGGGTTAGGTGTGTCAGAGACAATAAGTTTGGCTCAGGATAGAGCAGGGTTTAGGGCTGTTGTATATGAGGTTGTTATGAGTTGTATGTGACTTGATGGCACGTAACAACAGAGTCCACCATAATTCTAAGATCAATTTAGCATCACTATAAGTCATGGTCAACTTGACTGCACATAACAACATAGATCTATGAAGTATATTCCTGTACCCAGAAAGGGAACACATAATCAGCTTTTATATTTTTATTTTAAAGTATATTTTTATAACCCCTCTCCTATTCTCTCATCATCTTAAGATATATGAAAATAGGTCTAACCTAGTGAATTAGTAACAGGGTTTAAAATTTCTTTTATCCTGATGACTTAAATAGTAACTTATGCTTTCAAGTCACGAATGGGCTCTATTTTTCTGTCTTCTCTTTAAATACCCTTCATTATTTGGAGCAGAGCAATCATGTGCTAGAGTTAGCAAAACCATTCTAAGCATATAGAAAATCTGTTTCTTAACTTTGAATTAGATTGTTAGGTCTTAGAGTAATGTTTTATAATGTCTATTCCTGCATCTTTGCAATTAAACGTAGACTGTATAAGGAAAAATGTAAATATACAGAATTTCAGAAAAGAAAAAATACATTCAATACTAATAAAATTATGACAGGAAAAAATAAGCTGATAGAATAGAGAATACTTGGGATTAGAAGAGGAAAACATTAGATAGAGGGGCAAGGACATAATCCCTGAGGAGGTGACCTTATATCTGAGCTCTCAATGGTGAGAACCCATCCATGAAAAAGTCCAAGTATATGACAAAAAAATATTAGTGACAGAATTAGGAGTAAAACTCAACTCTCCTATTTCTACCCACAACTACTATTTCCAATTGGAAGTACCACCTAAATAAATGGTGGATCAACAGTTCCACAGGAGAAAGATGGGTCCTTGCTTCCTATGAGTCATTTCAAAGCAATAACAATGTGGACAAATAGATAAATGGGACATTGAATGTCTTCTCTACAAGCATCTCTGATCTTTAATACCTACCTTTCTTCTTTGAATGTCCTAGAAGTCACACATCTTCACCGCTCCACTTTCTGTTTCTACACTCATCTGAACTATTTCAGGCTATCTTTGATGGTTAAGCTCTTTCTAGATGTGCTTCTTCCAGCAGCCACAGAAAAGACTCTGTGCCCATGATAGTAAAACCTCTAGAGCTAAGCTCCAAGTTCTACTCCCTTTTCCATTTCCCTACTCTAGGCTTGGCCATTTCTCTGTAATTAGAAGAATCATTAATGTAGTAAAGTTTCTGCCTTCTTGGCTAGTCTCTTGAGATGATGAGGAAAGTACACCCAAGAGCTGATCAATCTGTGACGTCCAAGGTAGCTGGAGTAGTATGCAAAGCTGTCTCCAGTGGGATGTTTTCACTGAGACATATTGAGAATTTGGGAACCTATGGTCACCACTGAGATGCTTTAGGAACAATTGAAAGATTCAGAGAGACAATGTGATACATTATGGCACATAATTTGTTTTTCTTATTGGTTTGCTTACACAGTTCACACACATTGCATTTCACACTAGTCTTTATGCACATTGTATTTCATACAAGCATTCTCATGCACTATGTTTTATAAAATTAATCATCATTGGACCTTGCTCATCATTACCCTGTGTTTTCACCTAGATCCTTCCCATTTCCTCCCTCTGTCCCTCCACCTACCAAACTGTGCAACCCTGTAGTTTCACCCCTACCCATCCTCTGCTCCCAAGCCTTCCTCCCTTGGGTTCCCATACATGTTTTACTAGTTATCCTTCTATTTTTACAATAATGGTCTTATGCAGTATTTGTCCTTAGGAGACTGAGTTAGTTCATTCAGCATAATGCTCTCCAGTCTCTCCCAAGTTACACAGTAGTTTTTTGAATTGTTGCTACTGAGTGCTGCATAGTATTTCATTGTGTGGATGTACCTCCATTTCTCAAAACATTCAGTTATGGTTGGACATTTGGGCTGTTTCCATGTTCTTGCAATAGTGAATAATGCTGCTATGAACATTATTATACAGATCTTTATTTATGTCACAGTTCTATTTTCCTTGGGTTATATTCCTAGTTTATTTGGAAAGGAAAGAGATCCTGAATAAGCAAAGAACTCTTGAAAAACAAAAATGAAGTGAGAGGCATAGCATTCCCTGACCTTAAAACCTACTACACAGCGGTAGTAACCAAAACAGCATGGTACTGGTACAATGAAAGGCACATAGACCAATGGAACAGAATTGAGAACCCATAAATGGGCCCAGCTATCTATGGCCAACTGATATTCGACAAGGAAATAAAACCTATCAAATGGGGAAATTACAACTTCTTCAACAAATGGTGCTGTCAAAACTGGACTGCAAAAACCTGCAGAAAGCTGAAACAGGATCTACATCTCACACCATACGCAAGAGACAAATTGGGACCAAGTTTAGAAGATCTAGTATATGTTATAGAAAGACTGACAAATACAGCCAGAAATGCACAATATGGAGGAGATAAAATTGATCAATAGGATTTTCTAAAAATTAAGTCTCTGTGCTCATCAAAAACTTTTTCCAACAGGGTGAAAAGAAAACCTAACAACTGAGAACAAATATTTGGTAATACCATCTCAGACAAGGGTCTCATAACAAAAGTTTACAGAATATTCCTGGGCCTCCAGAAGGAAAAGACTGATAAACCAATTACAAAATGGGCAAAAGACATGAAAAGACTTTTCACAGAGGAAGACACTCAGATAGCCAATAGACACATAAAAAAAATGCTCCAAATCACTGTCAATAAGAGATATGCACATCAAAAGTACAATGAGATACCATCTCACTCCAGTAGCAGTGGCTAAGTTTAGTCAGGCAGCAAGCAATAAATGTTGGAGAGGATGTGGAGAGGTGGGAAGTTTCATACACTGTGGATGGGATTGTAAAATGGTTCAATCACTCTGGAAGACCATTTGGCATTTCCTCAAAAAGTTGAACATAGAAACTTTGTATGACCCAGCTATGTCATGTAATTTTAATCTAAGTTGGTTTCATAATCATATGAGTCTTAAGTAATAATTAAAATTTCAGGTTTTCTCCTAAATCAGCAATTATATGTAAAATTGTCCTAATAGAAGTTGATAAAAGAACCTTTCACATTTTATGATTTGGTATAGAATTTTGTTTCCACACTGCTATGCTCTGATTACCAGCTCTGGTAGCATAGTTAATAGGGAGCTGGGTTGTTAACCCAAAGTTAATGCTTCTCTGAGAGTTCAAATTCAACAGCAGTGCCATGGGAGAAAGATAGGCTATCTCCTCTTGTGTAATTTACAGCCTCTGAAAACCCATTGAAATGTCAGATATGAGTCTATTCTAACTTGAAGGCAATGAGATATATTTTTATTCTAACAACATCTATTTTTATTCTGATTAAAAACCATAAATTATTTATATCATCTGAAAAAAATACTAAATTGCAGTCAATAAAGTCTTCATTGTTGCTGTTAGGTGTCACTGAGTAGAGTATGACTCAGAGTGACCCTATGAACAACAGATCTGAACCTTGCCCTATGCTTGAGCCCATTGCTGGAATCACTGTGTCAATCAATCTGGTTATGGACTTTCCTTTTTTCTCTAACCCTCCACCTTTTCAAGCATGATATCCCTCTCCAAGAAATAACCTTTCCTAGCTACATGTTCAAAGTATGTGAGGTGAAGCTTTGTCACGTTTGCCTTCTAGGAACATTCTGCTGTACTTTCTTTAAGACATACCTGCTGATATGAAATATTTGAGTACTATTAAGTTCTAACAAAATATTATTATAAATAGGGTTTATATGGTAGCCACTTGAATTGCATTATTTTTTTCTATATTTGAGGAGACTTGGTGCAGTGACGGTTAATGCACCAGGTTACTTACCTCAAAGTCTGCAGTTCAAACCCATCAACTACTCTATAAGG